GAGTTTTCGGCTGTTTCCTATAGAGAATTCTACGCGCGATCTCTCGTTTCGACGTCCACCTTCTGAATAATTCATATAACGATAAAACTTTCAATGCCGGACGCAGAGGGACAAAAAAGTGCCTGACATTCGCGAAAGGTCGCCTAGAAACGGATCATTACGTTTTTAACCGCCTCGAGTAAATTTGCGATATCTCATTGATATTATATTCCCATGTTATTAAATTCATTCAATCGTGTATATAATTGTAACATTAAACATATCATAATACTAAATATGATTAGTGATAAATGGACTATTAATGCTCCCGTTCTTAATTTATTTTCAACGAACGCATTAGAGCACGAATTTAATTTTATTCATTTTATAACTAATATATAGCGTAATTGATGTTACATCTTTGTCTTAATTTATTATATTTTTAAATATATTTTTTTCATATTTTTTTAAACCTGCAATATAACTGTATCATTTATTGAGTTTGTTATTAGTTATTTTCATTCAATTGTGAATTATTAGTTGTTCTCGTTGTTCATATTGTTTCGTATTCTTTTTTATTTATTTATCATCGCTAGCTCTTTTAATATATTTTTTGATATACATATTTTATTATATTTTTTATCAATCTTTTAAAAATCTACGATATAACTGTATCATTTTTTATTGAGTTTGTTATTAGTTATTTTTATTCCATTTATTAATTATTAGTTGTTTATATTGTGTTATTTATTTTTTTATTCACCGTCGCTGGCTTGCACGTATAAATGTCACGTGGAAAAATACGAGCGAACAATTGCGATACGAAGCCGCGAAAACGACAGATTCGAAGACCGTGATTTCAATATGAATTCCACGGATCCAACTTCCCACGGTTAAGGAATTTTAATAAAGAAAGAACGGATCGCGCGTGGAGAGGTTATTCTTTCATTGCGATGTACTAGAAACACACACATGCACACAAATACCACACGCATACTCACAATGGTTTCTTGCCCCTAGCTTCTATCAGATGACCTAGAAAAATGCATACCGATGTTTCCTCGCATAAGCGGAATATCGATTCCATGCAAATGGCGAATAAATCAAACAAATTCGCGAGATCTGTACATTCCTCGTCATATTAATGCAAATTTATGTGTTACCTTCTATCGCTGTATATTTAAAAAAAAAAAAAAAAAAAAAAAAAAACGGATGCGCTAACTGATTCATACATTTTCCCTATGTTAACAATACATATATATATATATATATATATATATATACACATTACTGCTCAAAAGTATTTGCCCACCTAGATTTTGTTTAAATGACTATATTACTGAATTGTGGAAATGACTATAAATAAATGACTATAAATTAATGACTATAAATTAATGACTATAAATGACTATAAATGACTATAAAATTTGTCTATTACTCTTTTCGGTCTTATGAAGTCCGACAATTATACCTCTCTTCTCTTCAGATAATTTCTTTTTTTTTTTTTTGACCATTTTAATATCACGTGAAAGAAAAAAAAACAGAAAACTATTTTTGCAAAATATGCGTTGAAAGATGTTGTCTGTTCAAATGGCAGCAGATAACTGACGCAAATCTATATTCGCTACATTCTAAAATATCAAACAAAAAAATTACTTTTGAGCGATAGTGTATTTACATACATGTATATGTATATATATATACACACAGTAGAAAAATTTTTCTTGTTAAAAACTGTCTCCGTTAAAATTTTTGTTAGATATTTAACACGTTTATGTGTTAATTTAACATATTATTGTTCTGGTAATTGAACTTGAATGTTAAATTATTAAAACAACTGTTAAAATATGTAAAAATAACACAACGTGCATCTATTTTTAATTTTACACAATAAATATGACTGTTCTGTTTTATTAGTGACAAGATTGATCTGTTAAATTTACACATTAGAAGTATGTTAATTTTACATAAAATTTATTTATAAAATTATTTGATGTTTTGCATTTATTTTGTGTTAAAATATTAACACAATATTTGCCTGCATTTAACATATTCATATTATGTTAAATTAATAGAAAAATTTCTGTAGACCGTTTGGGACATGTGATATTTGTTAAATTTAACAGAAATTTTTCAACTGTGTGTATATGTAATATATTGACATATAATATATATTAAATAATGTTATATATGTACATATCTACAATATACAATGCATACAATAGGATTGATAAATCCTGCTAGCTATTAGATAATTTACATGCGAGTTTATTTTCGATAAAAATATTAATCAAGCGTTATTATAGAACTAATTAATATTGATTCATTAAACTTGCTCTCGCGATCGAACTTGTGACTAAAAATTGCATGGGATATATATAATAATTAATGAGTACGCAGTCATTCGCGTAATTGTACAATTTTCGTAAAATCATAGCATTTATGTTTAATGGAGCTTTCAAATCGATATATATAATTGTACGGAGTTCACGCATTTATAACAAATCTCGCGGAATCAATATCGAAATGATCCCGATTCTTTTCAAGGAGATCTCTTTAGGAAGCTTACAACTTTTTCTCTTGAAATGTATGTCCCTTCTTTTTCCTCTCTTCTTTTTTCTCAATATTTTCCGAGATATTGAATTGTCACGCTGGCTTAGAAATTGCTTGCACTTTTACCTTACTTGGACCATCCTTCTCCTATTATAGGAGTCTGCAGAATTTTTTCTTGAAGAGGGCATAATTAAATTTTTTGTTTTTATAAGTTTTTAAATTTTTTTTGCTATCTTATTTTTATTTTTTTATTAATTTTATATTAATAAATTTGTATATTAATTTTTTATATTTTTTAATATATTTTTGGTATTAATTTTATATTAATAAATTTTTATATTAAAAATAAATTCTAGTGTTTATTCGAAAGGAAAGCAAATTTTAAATCTTTGTACTAATTCGCCCTATTCTCGCCTTTGTTCTATTATTAATCACATTTTTCCGCGGTGGCCGTTCTTTGACCGGGACGTTTCGCCTTTGCCTCATCTTTGAGATGGAAACGAAACAGCTCTTTCACTCGTGTAACTTTTCCTCTATCGCGGTCGTTCCTTTATCTTCGTCTCGATGCGGACGATGAAGAGAAGGCCGTCACGCTGCGAGAGAGAGAAGTCGTTCGATTTATGAATTATTCACGGAACCGGCAAATTTATATATTCACGAGGACGATTGCACGAACGGTTTGCGATGCTTATAATTGTAGGCAACCGGAATGCAGGGCAAATCCATAATTTAAGAGCGCCCACGGCTTTCGTCGCGTCTCGGTTGCGATAAATAAAGGAGCGACATGGTTTTAAACTTCTGTATTAATTAGAACCGCATTCTTGACGTGCCCTCGAGAGAAAGATGAAAATATAAACCTGACGTCAATTAATTAAGTAGGGAACATATATAAATCTGACAGAACGCTGCATCGAGTGTACGATGATGATTCTTTTTAAAGTTTTCTGTAATTGCTTTCAGATTTAATTATTTTTTTTTTTTTGACATTTGAATTGTCATTATTATTATTATTGTGACGTTATTAGAGATTTAAAAAGATTCGAAGTACTTGAATTTAAAATATAATTTTGTTATAAACCTGGAATGATTTAATTAATTATTTGGAGAAAATAAAGATTTGACAGAACAATATCTTATATACGATTCTGTTTTTCTGTCATTGTTTCTAGATCTGATTTTTTTATTTTTCAACAATTTATATTTTGACGCGAATTTTTAATTCGTTAATATATATATGCGACATGGTTTTAAACTTCTGTATTAATTAGAACCGCATTCTTGACGTGCTCTCGAGAGAAAGATGAAAATATAAACCTGACGTCAATCAATTAAGTAGGGAACATATATAAATCTGACAGAACGCTGCATCGAGTGTACGATGATGATTCTTTTTAAAGTTTTCTATAATTGCTTTCAGATTTAATTATTTTTTTTTGACATTTGAATAGTCATTATTATTATTATTATTATTATTACAATTAATTAAGTAGGGAAAATATATAAATCTGATAAAATGCTACATAGTATATACGATAATGACTTTGTTTATATTTTTCTGTAATTGCTTTTAGATTTAATTTTTCTTATTTTTGACATTTTAAATTGTCGAAATATATTGTTATTAAGTTATTATTATTATTACGTTATTAGAAATTTGAAAAGATTCGAAGTACTTAAACTTAAAATGTAATTTTCTTTATAAACCTGGCGTGATTTAATGGTTCAATTAAAGAAAATAAAAATTTGATCTTTTTTTTTTTTTATTTTCAACAATTTATATTTCGACGTAAATTTGTAATTCATTATCATTAATATACATATTATCATATTATTATTGCACATTGTTGGAGATTTAAAAAGATTCGAGGTACTTGAATTTAAAACACAAATTTTTCCTACCTCGTGACGCTATCATAATATGCCAGAAAATTTTCCGAGCTTAAATTGCGTTTAATTAAGCTTCTTTGGATTAATGTACGAGGATGGATGTAATTGTAGTATCTTTTCGCTGGCAAAATGCCCGCGATTATTACGCTTATTTCTCTTATAACTCTTACGAAATTCGTTGCCGAGCATTCGACTTGATATCGCGATATCTCTTGCATGAACGAGTGTTCTCGCGCGAACATAATGTATTACATTCACCTTTATATTACGTTATCATCCTAGCGAGAATAATGTAGCTACGTCCTCGGGCAACCGTTCGATTATTTATGACCCTTTGTTATTGAATCCGCACAAAAGGATTCGATATATATTTCACGCGCCGGCTGTCTCTCTTTTTTTCTCCTTCAGTTATTCTTACCACCGTAATTTTTCACGAGTGATAAGTCACTTTGTAACCCGAGGTGAAACGCGAATCGTCGTCTTCAATTTATACAAGCTTTGTGTAAAACTTATTTCTCCGTCTCTCGAATCCTTTTCTTTGCTTTTCTTTTCGCTAATCAGTTGATGGATTTATGTTGCAGCCTCTTCTCCGATTTGAGGAGCCTGGCAGGTACGACTTTGATGAATCTTCTGGCAGCTCTCTTCATGGTCCAACTTTTGTTCATCGTGGGAGCTGGAGGAGTACAAGTAGGTTTTTCTATTTTATTTATTGCGAGACACGGTATATATTTTTGGATATCTACATAGAAACAGCTTTCTGCAAAAATAATATTGCAAAACTCGTATATGAGAACATTGAATTATTATTACATTTTTTACTATATATTTTTCGAATTACAAGAACACGATTCGAAAATGCGAATTTATAAATAATATATAGGTAAACTGAAAAAAATTTATTGAATTCGAATAAATATATTTATTTCAATACTGCTTAATAATAGTAATATTGATTTGACGTGACAAAATATTTATTTGATATAAGAAAATTCTTTTCGAAACAGATAAATATTGATTAATTTAATAATTTTTTTTTAGTGGAATTATAGGAAAGACGTAACTATTTTTAAAATAATTCTATATTAAAAATCTCATATCAAATTGAATTAATATCGAGATGTGGCCAGAAGAGAAGTCAGATCTACATATATTTTAAGATCTTTTTCTAAAAAAATCCTTTTCGAAACAGTCATATATATATTTATTCGTTTCAGATTTATTAGGCAGTATTGAAATAAATATTGATTAATTTAATAATTTTTATTAGCGGAATTATAGGAAAGACGTAACTATTTTTAAAATAATTCTATATTAAAAATCTCATATCAAATTGAATTAATATCGAGATGTGGCCAGAAGAGACGTCAGATCTACATATATTTTAAGATCTTTTCCCGTACCTAAAATTGCTTCCAAAAATTCAAAATTTACCGATAAGTATAGTATCACACACAAGTGCGAGAATCTCACCTCGGATCCGAGATGTGAATTTCGGTGTGCTTTTTGCTCCGCGAAGATAGTCGGGAAAAGCTTCCGGTACTTCCTCCGTCTCATATTCCGCTCTCTAAAATCCTCTTTAATTAAGCTCCGGGATCGTCGCGCGCGAAGACGCGAAAAGAATCCCTTTGTCTCCTTTCGCCGGGAAAATTCGGGCTATATATGACGTAACATATATGTATACATATGTATACGCGCTATATAATACGAGGATGCCTGACATTGTCGCGCGAATTCTTTCGGCGAACCGCGAGTTCGCGAAAAGCATTCCACGGAGAGGAAAAGATCCTCCGGAGAGAGATTACATCGACGGAGAAGAGAAACAGGCCGCAAAAAGGTAGGAGAAAACTCAAAGTGAAAATTGCCGACATTCCTGACTGCCAAGTTTTAATTGTGTGTTAGTGGACTTTTCGTCGAAAACACGTGACCGCGCGCGACAGCATTTGCGCGGGAAAAGTGTTTCTCATTTATTCTCCCGCGAGTTCGAATATATAGGGCGTTCCATCATTTTGTTCGGCAACGCTCCGCGTCGTTCAATTAGCGATAAATTGCGTTTAATGGCTTTGACAAGATTAACAGAGAGTATCATTGATCATCTCTCTGCGCTCTGTGTTTCATTTAATCGTCCGTATTATTCGGACGGATTCATTAAAATTTTGTAATTAGGCTCGGTTAAAAATCAGATATATAGGTATCTGTAAATTTGGTTAATTACCTGCATTCCCATACTGGCGAATTTAATCGTCATGCTATTGTTTCTCTGCGAACTGAATTTTCACCCTTTGCGCGATATAATTATACACAATATATATCGCGCGTGTTCCATAAAATCTGTGCAATATTTATTCCTCAATTTTAATATTACCAGGATTGGGCAGATACTTTGAAACGCAATATTTAAATATAAGATACAAGATGCTGTTTTACATATATTTAAATATATATTATTGAAATACTTTGGTTTTGAAGTGTATTTAAATATTAATTGTGTTTAAATACATTTAGAAATACTTTTAAATACTATTATTTTTTTATATGAAAATGATATCAAAGTAAGTTAATTTCAATACTTTGAAAGATAAGTTTATTTATTTGAACTTCAAACTTTGTAAAATAATAATAATTAAAATAAACATATAACAGCATATATTATATTATATATGCATAATAGCATGAATATAATATAATATAATTATATATATATATATATATATATATATATATATATATATAATTGCATAAATGCATTTCAATACAAGATATATTTCGATTAAATAATTAATTGCAAAATTTGAAATACTTCATTATTCGGTATTTAAATACTGTTTTTAAATAAAATACATATTTAAATACGTATCTCGGATACATCTGCCCAACCCAGAATATTACAAAATTCTTTTTACAAGTTTTTTGCCATTTTTTGGATGGAAAAATTATTTAAATTTTTATTAAAGATAATATAATTATTTTATATGTAATATAATATTTTTTGACATTTTGTATAGTAATTTCTTTTCTCTCGGATACTCGGCAAATATTCTTTGTAATTATCTTTTATTAAGCATATTGTGAAGCTGGGAATTAATCACCAACCTTACAATCGCAATGAATAAGGAATGTTTGGGGAATATCACGTGCAAACCATCAGTTCGAGAAAGACCAGGATTATTACTCACTGAGAAAAATAAATTTCGTTACATTGTTCCGGTGGAAACGAAAAGCTTGTATTACATCGTATACCTTCGTTTTGAAAGAAGCTAACGAGAAGAATCTCCTACATTCATTCAACGACGAAGAAACAAACGTATTTTCGTTTCCTCGTCTCTGGATGAAAGAAGGATTTGCTGAACCCACAAAGATAAACTCTTTTCGTCATCATCGTAATTAGAGGTAGAAGTAAAGAGATTCGAGAGAGAGAAAATATTTTTTGTTGCAAAAAAATTCCAACGAAAACGAGAATCTTTTAGGTCAAACGTTTATTCATCGCGATAGTTGTCATTGCAAAAATTCTGGCCTTTGATCCTCTGAGGTTTTTGCGGCTTGCAAAGCATTCCGCAAATTTTTTCGTTCTAAAAACCGTAGCAGAAACGTGGGAATATTTTCAAATGTTATTCATCATGATAGTCCAAATCAATACTCGGTTTTACATTCTATGAGAAGTAGTGAAATATTATGGTAGGATATTCGTCTCTCCACGTGCTTGATCTATCAAAGTAGAGAAAATTGCAACTGAATATATAATAATTTTGAATATACGTGATATGAAGAAAATTTATTTTTATAATTTAAATAAATCATATGATATATATACACTGTGACAAGTAATTTCGAGATTTTTCTCTGCTTTTAATAAAAAGAATGGACATATATAAATTTATTTTTTTATCTTTTTAATTATTATAATCCACAGAAAAATAACACTCGAGCAATAGTTATAAAATATATAAAATCCTTTCTTTAAAAAAGGTATTATCTCGAAGTTTGCTTCGCGACTTAAATCGCAATTAAGTCGTTTGACAGTTTTACAGTTTACGGTTAAACATAATTTTATATTTATATAATCGAATTACTATTATGTGCATTTTAATTTGCCGCATTTCTTTTATGTAAATAATTTTAATTCGCTGAATTTTGATTACATAATTTTATCTCTCTTGTATACAGAATTTATTCTTGAATTTTTATTATATACATAATTTTAATTCTTAAATTTTCATTATGTCTTAAATTTTGATTTGCCAAATTTCTGTTATGTACATAATTTGTATTCTTGAATTTCTATTATATATTTATAATTTTATATGACAAAATTTTTATTATGTACATTATATTAATTAGTCAAATTTTATTATATGTACAATTTCAATTATTTACATAATAGAAAAACAGCGAATTAAAATTATGTGCGTAATAGAAATTCAAGAATTAAAATTATGTATGTAATGAAAAATTAAAAATTAAAATTATGTGCATAATAGAAAGTCGGCGAAATAACATTATGTTCATAATAAAAATTCGGCGAATTAAAATTATGTACATAATTGAAATTTGGCGAATTAAAATTATGTACATAATTAAAATTATATAAATGCTTAAATGCAGAGCACTAAATTTTTTTCTTATTTGGGAGGGAATTATTGCAGTGACCTTTTTTCAATTAACTAACATTAAAAACTAATATTAGGAAAAATAATACTAATCTTATATCGTTCTAGTATATATAAAATATATAAAATATATGAAATATAGTCTTTTGGATTTTCTAAACTTCCAAGAGCTATTAAAATTGACACAAGTCGAATAAAAAAAATGGGTGAAAGCTAGAAAAATGGGCAATTGTTTTTTACGGGCGAACGGATAAAGGGAAAGGTTACTAAAGTCGGTGGTTTTTCTACAAGGTACTAAATTTCGCGACCGCGAACGGAATGAGGCTCGTTTAACGCCGGAACGACCCTGGTATAGTGCGAGTAGTTTATCAGTGTCATGTACATGCAAAAGGCGGAGAGAAAGAAAAAAAAAGAATTCACCACACCCCAAAAGAGCGTGTACGAGCGGATGCGTTACATGTTCCGAGATCAGGGTGTCGCACTCCGACATAAAAACAACCCCCTAATTGCGGTCTTGTTCTCTGTCGGTGCGTAAAGACAAATTTACGCGAGATGTTTGTGAGAAAACGCAAAATTTTTACTTAATTTTAAACTTGAGATAAATTTAAAATTTTTTAAATTATTATATTGCAACACGAAAGATTGAACTAAAATTACAATCGTAATAATTTTAAGAATTTTTACTTTATTTTTATTATAATGTATAATTATACATTACAGTAAAAATATATAGTAGAAATGAAGATGAAATCAAATTAAATAATCAAATGTAAAAATATATTAATTGATTAGATCGAAAGATCTTTTTTTACAATATTGATTTAATCATTCAATATATGTTTAAATCTATCAATTCTTGATATATCTGTTATGAGTAATTTATTGGCAATCAATCGCGGAGAATCGACAGTATTAATTGAATATTAAGTATATTAAAATTATTTTCATAGGAGATAATCGCGATATAGCTGGGGTGGGAAAAAGAGTTTATTAGAAGCGGAGTAACTCCGTTCTGTCATAACTTCTAGAGATAAATCTTCGTCGGTCGTAATCTCGCTTTATTGGTACCCGATTCGGATTCAA